AAATGATATGATCAGTTATTGCCTATAATTAAAGTAGCAAGTTTTAAATGATGGACAGGAAGAGAACAGAAATGATACAGTACGCGATAATTATGAGGGAGAATGAGAGAAGACAGAAGTAAAAGATTCAAGGAAGAGTGAAACAGAGAGCAATATATATTGGCTATTAGCAGAAGAAAAGAGAGTCAGGGGAAACACTGGAGAAAAAATATATAAAGCAAAACATTTTTAAAAAGTAAAAATAAAGAATACAAAACAAAACTAAAATATACTAATCAAATACCTTAGTTCACAAAAAACTAATCCATGTAAAATAATTGGCTTCAAAAATGGTAGAAATGAGGGGAAAAAATGAAATCGTATTAATATCCATGTACCATTGAAGTCACAAACATAGAAAAAGAATAAAAACAAGTAAAAAAAAATCTTCATGAAAAGTTACAGAATTCTTTTCATAGCAGTTCAAAAATATTCTCAGCTTTCCTTTTCAGCAGTATTAGGTGGGGTTGTCTGGAGTGTGATGCTTGCTCACCCTCGGGGTAGAGTTTCTAGAGTAGGAGAGGTAATTCCACAGGGAGAATTCTTGGAAGGCAGTATTTGGGTTTAGGCAGGTTCTATGCTGTTTGCTGAATTCCAGTTGGTCTAGAGATTTCTCCACTGCCAAATACCTGCTTGTCCACACTGGAAGACTGTACCCTATGGATCTCCCCTGGGTTCTACTTGTGTGATGGGGGAACCAGTTCTTAGTCCCCTATGACACCTGCAGACCCCATGTTTCTGGTCTCAGGTTCAATCTCCAAACAATCTCTACTGCTCCCCCCCCCACCCTTCTGAGTTCCTAGCCAGATGTGTCTCTCCCCTCAGGTCCTGTAAGCAGTGGGATTGGAGTGGGACAGTTACATCTGGGTGGGTTTCTACAACCAGTTGTCCCCTGTGTAAACCTCTCTCCACATTTGATTTTTCTCCTGATCAATTACACACACTCTTTGTTGTGCAGTGTCTGTTTACTACCTCTATTTCAGGCCACACTCAGGCTTGCCAGGAATTGCTCCATCAGCTACAGCTGCAAAATGATTCCTTCCTTTGGCTGTTTCTTTTTCTGCATACATATATCATGCACTGTGTCTTTCAGGTTTTTGGGGAAATATTCTTGGTCTTTAAACCTTCTGTACCCTGATAACCCTTGGGCCTCCCCCAAATGAGGGTTCCTTTAATTTCCTTATCCCTCTACTATGCTCTCAGAGGGACCTCTCTGGCTGGAGCTTCTGGCTTGGCTGTTGCAATGGCTATGCTGTTGGGGTTTTTTCCTTCTTTTATTATATCCAACCTCCTGTGTCCCCAGTCTGCATTGAATGTCCAGTTTAAGTTCTACTAAAGTCCGTCCCCTCCCCCTTTTTTTTGTTCAACCACCTTGCGCAGAAGCTGCCCGTCATCTTCTTCATTTCACAACACAGAGCAGCCAGGAATGAGACCTTCTGTATTCTGCCATCTTCAGCTGACCTCTGCCCCAGAGTTTTAATCCCCCCCAACTACATCTTCCAGGGTAGAGAATAGTATTCCTAAATGATCAGGTTTCCACCCACCTCCCAAGAATGGCAAGTCACAGGAAAGTATAGTACTGGTTCCCAGAAATAGGGATTGGCCCTCATGGTTTTCCTAAGTAGTTGTGCCATGGCAAAACCTCAGTAAACATTTTTATTGTGTGAAGATTTCCTGTTGTCTACATAAGAACTTAAATTTATAGTTATACCATATTTTGGTCTAGTATACTTTTAAACACTTTCCTGGGTCACTTACTATACTGTTCAGTCTTAAATGAATAGACTTCTTATTTCTAAATGTCAAAATCATCTTTAAGGCATGAGGTTTATAATCAGTTATTGAAGAAATTTAGCAACTGTGTTCCATTGTCTTAAAATGCTTCTTTGTAAGGAGTTTGAAGTGTTTGTGTCATCACAATATTATTGAAATGAATAAGTTGACTTCCTTTTGATGAGGACTGCATTTTTTTTTTTTAAGATTCACGTGTTCTGGCATCATTGTATAACAACAAAAGAAAATAGTCTTGTTATTTTTTGCCGTCAACAGTACAATGTGGTGATGTTTCCTTTTTAGAGTTTTTTAAATACAGTTATCCAGTCTAGCCAAAAGAATATTTTCTAGATGTACATAATTGATGAAATGGAAACCAAATTCTAAAAATATCTGCTTAATAAGTATTCTCTATCTCTGAAATATGAGTTTTTATAGTTTTTGCTAGTACTGGGGTTACTACATATTCATTATCCTGAGAGGTAACACGTCAGAACATTAAGTGCAGTCTTAATCAGGGAAGATCCTGACCAATGGGACATGATTCTATTTTGAAATATGTTTTATGTTTTGTGTCTTAACACAGAAGAAGCAAAAAAATTTAAGTGTAATAGTCCCAGTGGCAATGTACCTTGAGGGAGCTGAGAGAATTGTGTTGAATGAAAAGACAATTATCTGTAGCTATAAGCTTCAGGTTTTTCCCCCTATTGAATTTTTTTTTTTTTTTTTTACAGTTAAACTCATTACTCAGATCAATTATTGCACAGATGCACAATCAAACAAAACAGACACAAATTGAGCTGAACTAGGTGAGTGGCAGATGTTAGGCTGGAGTTTCACCTGCAGAGAACACTGTTACTGTCCTTGATGTAGCCCCTGAGGCTCCAGGGAACACAGTTTGAAAACAAGTCATTGAATGGAATGACTTCTAGTCCATCACTACAGGAATTTTTTAAAAAGGTTTCCATAATAGGGTATTGTGTAAGGTCAAAGGAAAACTATAGCTCATGCTGACAGAAGAAAATCAACTTGAAAACTGATTTGTTAGGGTGCCTTTTTTCCTAATTAAAACTAAAGAAAGGACAACACATATTACTGTAACAGTTAGAAAAATGAATAACTCATGAATTCAGAATTACAACATTTCCAGTAATACTCCCTTTGAAGTACATTTTCTATTTAAGAAAAAAAATGAGGCTGTTCTTAAAAAATACTTTAAAAGTTTGTCAAATATTTTCTGTAGTTTATTTTTATTTTATGTGTTTTCAGAGAGGTACAGCTAAGGTATTAAGGCTTTATAAAGAAGATGCTAATCAAAATTGAAAAGCCTTAATAGTACTTTAATAGGTAATTGTAGCCCATAGGATGAAGTAACAAAAATAGAAGCCTTTGTTTTTATACAGTTAATTAATATTAGATGAGCACAAACCTTTAGGTAATAAAAACATTTATTCGTAAGACTGGTTCCTATGCAAAGATTTTCATGCCAGAATTCTAGAAGTTATTTTAGTGTTTGAGAAGAACTTTTGTGTAAGTTTAAAAATGCTTTATAAATGTTTATTTGAAGCAAATTACTTTTATAATATTACCTTAATATAAAGAGATGTTTTACCCTTCAAAGAAAGCAGGCAGGAATAGAAAATGAATTATAGTAACTATATATCTTTCCCTTAATTTTTTCCCTGAGTTTGTCATATAGATGATTAATGTAGAAAATTATTTTCTTTTTAAGGTTGGAAAAATTAATTAGGTCTGACTTCAGATGTCTAGTTAATTTTGGAATTTTGAGAAAAAATTAAGAACTAGTTTTATTCAATTTCAGCGGAAAAAGTTCTTGACTAAAATGTAATTGCTGCATTTTTTTTTTCTTTGCTCACTTGTCATTGCTCTATTCCCAGCACTTAGAACAGGGCCTACCACATAATAGATAGCTTGATAAATACTTGTTGAACGAATGAATCTCATCAGTACTTTTGGTAAAATGTATAGTGTGAGCCTATTGTTTGTTTTCCAGATAACAGGATTGTATTGGGGATAAGAAACTAAAATAATGGGAGTCAGTAACTTGGTTGGCATATGCTTGTTTTAGAGATAATATCATGATGCTACATTTGATTTTCATACATTGGTTGACTGCTTGAACAACTTACCATCTGTCTTACCAAATGGGATACTTTTTAATTCTACAAAGTAGGTTATAATTTTGCTCCACAGTTTACCTGACAGGGTAAAGGCATAGCAGGTCCATTTATTTTGGGTAGACTTTCCCTGGTCTTATTGAGCTAAACAAAGTTATTTGTATAAATCCAATTCTGAACTAATCTGGAAGAAGAATGTCCCATTTTTATAGCCATGGTAAGGCACTAATTGAACACTTGTTGAAATGGATTTTTCACACCATTTGCATCATAAGCATCTGAATACTTCGGTTATGGGTTTCTATGCCTTATTCTACTTATGTAATACTATTTTATTATTTACTACATTCTTAAGTTCTTGATATAGGAGAACAAAATCTGTAGTCGCACGTACATATTCTGTACCTGAGTTCCCTGGATGGGACCTAGGAAGTATTTGCCATAGAACAGATATATACCCTGACATTACAAATCCCAGAACACTATTCACAGGCTGGTTTTTTTTTTTAAATTACCAATGATTTTAGCCACATAGTGACACCCTGTAGGCTCTTTCTGTTGGAGCCACATTTTAATAAAAACTGACAATATGAATCTTGGTATATAAAGATATACTGAATTCAGAATGAAGTCTCCTTTAATATGAGTTGATCCTTGCTAACTTCAACTAACAATGACGTTTGGTGACTTGTTACATAAGGGATTCCTGCTTTCCTTCTAGTATAGAACCTTACTATTAAGTAGTAGTGTTAACACTTTGGACACTACTACATTTTGTTTGATTATAAGGCTTCAGTTATATAATAGGATTTCATAAACAAATGCTATATAACATCTGAATTTATTCAAAGATTACAAATAAAATTTTTAATCATTTGTAGAAATAGAATATGATTTAATATGGATTTTCTAATGCTGTTTTCTAGTTTAGAAATTGTGTTTTATGTTTATAGTTTCTTCAAAATCAAGAATTTCCTCAAGGGCATTATTTTATTGTTTTCACATTCCTTCCTGCTCTGTTAAGTCTAATGAGGTTTATCTGTCCTTTAGGTGACCTACAAACGAGATCTGTATGCGGCTGAATCGATTATTAAGGGTATGTTTGGCCTTGTGACTGTCAGTTCCTGTGTTTCAAAAAATGTAAGCCAGTTCAGAATTTCTCATGACAGTTTAAATCCCAGCCATCAAAGAAGGATAAATGCCTGTAGGCCACTGAGGTCTCTGATTTGTTTTTGAAAATAATTACATTTTATTGTGTTTCCTGCTTGTGAAATAATGTCGTCTTGGTTTAAATTTTTACAAAAGAAAGACTTTTGTTTATTAATTTAAGTATGTGACAGCGATACTATTAGGAAGGAAACAGTGAAAACTGATATTTTAATACAGTTTTAAAGTTGTCTCATGTTTACTGGTAAGATAACTGCCCCCACCCTTTAACACTGCCATATCAGTGAATTAGATATTATCTTCCATGTGAGAAAAATATTTTCCATAAATTTGAAGAAATCGTACTGGATAATTTTTTAAAATTCAATTTTTGTTCTAAAAATGAATGCAGTTTTCTTTTGTAATTTTAGGTATTACATGTGATAACCACTTTCTTGTGTTTTTCCAGTGTTGTGACTCTAAATTCCATCTCCAAGATAGTCTACTTAATGACCACATGTGAAACTAGATCTAAATTTAAACTTATATTGAAGTACGAAAAAAAAAGTAGTGAATCTGAATATTGAATGCATTGATTTAAATATTTGGGAAAACTTATTTAACAATCATTTGAAGCCAGTTGACTTTGTTTCACAATTGAGCTTAATATTGTGTTAGGAATGTAATCAAGATGCAGAAGGAACATTCTTTCTGTATTTCTGCAGTTTTTATCGTTTAAATTGGGTTTCTCAATTTAAGCACCACACTGACATTTGAGACCAAATCTTTCTATGGTTTGGGTCTCTTCTGTGTTTCCCTCATTGTTTAGTCACATTCCTGGCCTCCACTAACTAGATGCCTGAAGCACCCTTGCTTTTTCACCTACTCCCTTATGTCAGAGATGTCTCCTGCCAGTGCCAGATATCTTCAGGGGCACACAGTTGCCCCTAACTAAGAACCATGGTTCTAAATAGTTTTAGCAAGATCAGAGGTGTCCCACTTCCATCTTGAAATAAGTGTGGTACTTTACAACAAGTTAATAATTGATTTTAGTTAAATTACAGATAGAACAATATGCTCAAATTTTTATTGAGATGTGAACTTCTAAATTTAAGTTTATTGGTGGGAAAAAAAGTAGTGAATATTAATTTTGAATGTGTCGGTTTATAGTTTTCAGAAATCCTATTTAATAATTAATTGGCTTCATATGCAGAAAACTGAACTTCTTCTCTGTTCATGACAATATATTTCCAGTTTAGCCTCAAGTTCTTGTTCTTCAAGCATATTTCATTTCAATCCATTAGCATATTGTGATTTGTGTATCTCTATGTATAAACATATCATCTATGACCATAAATCAAAGCATTGACATATTTATACAACAGCCTGGAATGTGTGACTAGTACTGTGGGACATGCTGGTTAAATCATGATGTGGTTGGTTATACTCTCAATGTAAATATAAAGCTCACTTTGGTTTCTTTGCAAAGTTGTATCTTTGTTACCTAGGTAAAACGAAAATGGTCTCTAGTTTGAACAGTTAGTGTTTCAATGGAGGATTCTACAAATTGCAATATATTGCCTACATGTTAACATTATCAGAGTAGACTTTTTACAATGTGAAAGCCTACTTTTTTCATTTTTTAATTTGTTCTAATTAGTTATACATGACACTAGAATGCATATTGACATGTCATACACAAATGGAGTATAACTTCTTATTCCTGTTATTCATGATGCAGAATTATAACGGTCATGTAATCATATATGCATATAGGGTAATGTCCAGTTCATTCCATTATTACTGTTCTTCCCACTACATTTTAAACATAATTGCAGGGGGCTATGACTTTGGAAATTTTTACCATAGAGAAATTTTTTTTCTTATTTAGACAACAAGTTCTTGTATTCTATTATTTTAAAATTATTAAAGAAGTATTCTGTTATTCTTAGGGAAAATAATTGGACTGACTACATTAGCAGCTGATTTAGGTCAACAATCTCAGTTTCTGTGTCCTCTTAGTACCAGAGCCTGGCCCAGGGACCTTGCCTGGATCTCAACTGGCTGAATTTGGCCACCCACATACAAAGAAACAGGCAAAAGATGAAAAAAGAAAAATTAATTTTATGCAGTTTGATCAAACTAGGGAGAATCAGATTGCTTTTCAGCTGGTCCCATAGAAGCGGTTAAAAATTATAGGAATAAAATCCAATTGATATACATATGTAGGTTTAGCCTATGCTAGACAGGTCTGGGTAAGGTGATCTCCATTCTCAGCTCCCTTGGTGTCCATGTGGTACTGGTCTTGGAAATCAGGATTGGGTCCATATTCTTCCAGTATTAAAGATGAAGCATCTGAGAAATGCTGAAGCTTGTGAAGTAGAAGACTTTTCCTGAGAGAAGGGAGCCCAGAGCTAGGTGTCTGCAGGAATGTGTGTGTCTTGTTCTTTTATAGGTTCCAGAACCCTCCTTTTAGTCCCTGCCTCCCTTTCTTCTCTGCATATGTGCCTATGGGCAGGAAGAGGCAGGAGTACTGCGGGTGATGGCTTGTTTGGGCAAGTGTGGTCCTGGAGGTTAATTGTTAACAACCCAGTGATAACTACCCATCATCCTTTCTTGACCTCCATCATTCCTTTTCTACACTGACTGCCAGGTTTTCTGTCCCCTGGCTGTTTGTGGAGGAATGTAACATTTCCTGTCCCCTCGGGACAGGTGGGTTGTAGGCACATTGCTTTTTATAAGGAAAGCATGTGGGGAGTCAGTACAGTGGGCTCATTTTATAGAATTGTTCTCTTAACCCTGTGTTCCTAATATCCTTATCTATTTGTCCCTTTACACCCGGCAGTCCTATACTATCAGCATCAGAAATTGTATTCAGTTTCAGAGGGGCCCTTAATTTCTGTGTCACTCTGAATTTTTTTTTTTTTAATCTAAAATCTTCCAAGGAGATTCTGATGCTACTGGTATCTTGCTCTGGAGCTTTCCTGTGTACCCCTAGACTGGCAACATTGTAGTTACCCGACAAGTTGAAAGTAGAATTTTGGGCCCTACTGGATTCGATCAGAATCTGAAGAACTCTGGGTGACTACTTTGTACATTGAAATCCAGAAACATTTTTCTAGGTTGCCCCTCAGTCCTTTATAGTCTTTTTATAAGGCAGCCTACTTGTTAAATTCTTTATTGTACTACACCCTTGAAGTCTAATTATCCCTTACCAGCTGGAAATGCTTATTTGCTCACCTAGGATTACCCTCTAACTTCATAACTTATGCTAAATACCATCTCTGATAATTGAAATATTTCTGGGCACAGAGAAAAGAAGACTTTTGTGTCTGTCTGAAAAAAAAAATTCCAAAATATAATATGGTAGAAGACTATCTGAGTTATATTTTCATCTGTTTTCCTTTTTATAGTGTATTCATCAGAGTTATCTAGAAAAACAGAACCAATATGATGTACATCGATACATATATAGATACACAAATATATCTGGCTGACTACCAGAGTTGATACTAGATTCAGTGTTTGTCATGGTGGGCATGTCAATGGTTTCTGTACTTCATTCTACTGGACTGTGATTTCTTTGGGTTAGGAACTGTTAAGTTCAGTGGGCCTGATGAAGAATGATTATAAAGTTAAGACTTAGAAGCTTCCTGCCAGTGCTTCAGTAAGCCTGCTGTGTAGTCTTCCAGAGTGTTTGTTGCTGGCATGATGGGTGTGTGGGAACTAGATCACAGTGGAATGACAGATTCCTAGACAAGCCCAGTGAAACAATATAACAATAAAAATTCAATATCAGAATAATAATATTGTGTACAATTTAATAATGATCAGTTAGGTAGTATTTAATTGTTTTGATAAATCTGATAGCCTAATATTCATTATATAGACACAAGAGTTTTTCCTCTTTTATTTTATTTTTTTTCATGCTATGTTATGAATGTTAGTATTCTAGAACTTGTCACTCCTGAGTTGCTTTTTCCCTTGAATCCTAATTATATATGGTCAACAAATATGCTGATGAAATTATTTTCTTAGTATTTTTCAAACTAAACCATTTCTAAGATAAATGTCAAATCTCATTTCTTACTAGAGCATTTTGTATCCTCAAACTTGTTACTAGAATAGTGTATGTATTTTGATCAGTCTTAATTTACATTCACATCAATGTCTTTGATGCAGCATAGAAATTTAGATGGTGGGAAAAATATGATTGCATTGATATTTGAGGTTAGGTTTGCTAACTTCAGGCAACCTTTTGATAGAAATCTCTCAATTGTAAATAAATGGTGAGTCTCCAAATCTTATTTTTAAGTTTACTATTTTTTTAGTACAAAGGATTGAACCTAGGGGAGCTTAATCACTGAGCCATATCCCCAACCCCTGTTATTTATTTATTTTAATTTTTTTTGTATATAACAGTGGAATGCATTACAATTCTTATTACATATGGAGAATACAATTTTTCATATCTCTGATTGTATACATAGTATATTTACACCAATTCGTGTCTCCATACATGGATAGTAATGTCCATCACATTCCACCATCACTAATTACCCCATGCCCCACTTCCCCTCCCACCCCTCTGCCCTATCTAGAGTTCATCTATTCCTCCCATGCTCCCTCTCCCTATCCCACTATGAATCAGCCTCCTTATATCAAAACATTCGGCATTTGTTTTTTTGGGATTGGTTAACTTCAGTTAGCATTATCTCCTCTAACTGCATCCATTTACCTGCAAATGCCATGATTTTATTCTCTTTTATTGCTGAGTAATATTCCATTGTGTGTATATGCCACATTTTTTGAATCCATTCATCTATTGAAGGGCATCTAGGTTGGTTCCACAGTTTAGCTCTTGTGAATTGTGCTGCTATAAACATTGATGTGGCTGTGTGCCTATAGTATGCTGTTTTTGATTCCTTTGGGTATAGACCAAGGAGAGGG